GTGAAAACGTCATGCTGTTAGGTAACAGATGTCTCTCTGTATGGAAATCAGTACCTGCTGATGTCCCACAGAGGACAAAGTTAGGTCCTTGGCTTTTCCTAATAAGGATTGAGGACCTAAAAATTTTATCATCAGGCAGTACGGTTAAATTCGTCTATGACACTACAGCCAGTAGCGTAGCCAGCCTGTCAATTTGTCCCGCTATGCTAATATTTTAGTGTTCATTGACGGAGAAAACAATAGATTTTTAAAGACATAAATAATTATAATAACTCGAAATTTACATAGCGGGACAAAATCCTGAATTGGATGAACATGCTCCAGATCCAGCTGCTGAGCTCAAGGAATGTTTATGTTTCAGTATTGAGAATATTTTAGCCAGTTTAAATGAGAGGATTCATGAAGATGTGGATGGAGTTAATTATCTTTGTGCTCAATTGGCTAGAATTGAAAATCTTGTGGAGAGAGCTTCTGATTTGTAAAATATCCCTACTGGTATTGCAAACTCTTTAAGGCTTGCCCAAGAGAAGTTGAAGACTTTAGGTGGAGTAAATGAACAGACGCAAACTGTGTTTGTCTTTAGTGGTTGTCAAGGAAGACCATCTGTTTATATTCCAAAAGACTTGCTACAGCTGTACGTGAATTACAAGTTTACATTGAAAAAATATTGGGGAAATATTTGGAGTGTCAAGACCTGCCTGGAGATGCGTAGATATGCAGGGGCTGTCAGATGAGGAACTAGATGAGCAGATGTAAGAATTTAATTCGCCATTAATTGTACCTACTTTAACCTATCACTCTGCTTCACATTATGCAAACAATTTTACCCCTGCTTTATCTTTACAAAATTGTATGTGCAAAAGATCTGTAATTTACTCTAAACCTGTTAAGTTGTATTTTGTAGACTACAGCCCACAACACGCCATATATATCCATGCACCTATGTAAATATGCTAATAAAATTGGAGAAATTTACTAATATATATTGGATATTTGCACTTTGATGCTAATCAGTTAAGAATCATTGGATGCCCAACATAAAAATATAAGACAAATATATTTTTTGTAGGATTATATAAATGGTATTTTGTTTTCAGATCTGATGTTTTGAAAGTATTTCCAAACTGTGGATATTGGAGAATGTGTGGTTTCTTGCGACCAAAATCTTTGGAGGTACAGTGGCGCAGGATAGAAGATAGCATGAAGCGTGTGTGTCCAGAGGGAGTACTGATGAGGTGTTTGCAATTAACTGTTCTTGTAAGGAGAATTTATAGAGTTAGATCACCATTGTCACTTGGGCATATTGATGGCAACCATAAGTTGATAAGGTAGAATTCTGGTTTTTGTTTTCATTGCATGACTATTGTTTTTATCTTCTACTGTGAATTCAATTTATTTTACAATCATATACAGCACAGTTGATTTTTAACACAGGTGGGGTTTTGTAATTCATGGTGGCATTGATGGGTACTTACGGCAGATCACCTACATAGCCTTCCCAGAGCAGAAAGATTAAGTTGCCTGAAATCAAGAATGGAAAGAGACGAGAACTTCCGAAAGAAATACAGTACTGTTATGAACAAGTACTAAAAAGAAGGAGCGGCTAGAGTAGTCCCCGAAAAAGAGTTATTAAAGCTAAGGCCTCTGTGATATTTGCCGCACCATGCAGTGTGGCATCCAAGGAAACCAGGAGAGCCTAGAGTGGTTTTCAATTGCGCGAGCAAAACAGAAGGGACTTCACAAAACAGAACGAACTATTGCGAGAACCAGAGAACACAAGTACGCTTATTGAGGTGATGCTTAGATTCAGAATTGAAACTGTGGCGGTAACGGCAGATATTAAAAGAATGTTTTGTAGTGACCGTCTAACGTTATAGTGATAAACCAAGCACACTCATATTGCTTACTTGTAGAATGAATCTATTCACATTATCCACACCCCTACTTAAATACAGATCTAATAATTACCATATATGATCATGCATACACTTATTATAATTCATATACTACAATCCTCCTTTTTCCAGTTCCTTGAATATTGCTAACCAATTTATAAATTCCTTTTTCCTAATTCTACAAATATTAATATCTATGCCTATGTAACCAACTTTATAATCTACCATATAATATTGTTACTTCCATATACTCTAATCTATTGTTTTAATCAGTTTTTTCTATTGTATTTTCTAGTTTTCTAAAACCGTTCTTATGAGTTTCTTATAAGTTCACGGAGTATAATCTCTTAATTGTTTCTCAAATATTGAAATACGTTTTCGTGTCGATCTTCTAATCGGTGGATTTACCTCTTGATTAGTGTCCTCTACATCATATCTTACTTCGTTGTTAATTAATTCTTGATCTTCATTTTCTTCATTGTTAATTATCTTCTTGTCTCTCAGAGTGAACGATGGTGGTACTTGTGATTCACCTTTCTTTAATTCTTCCATCTTCTTTTCTTCTTTGTCTTTGTCGCTTCTTCCATTTAACTGTTTAAATCTGGATGAGTCTCTGCACACCGTTTTACCATCAGTTATTCTTCTTGCAAATATTGTAGATCCCTTGATATCTGTAATGATGTATATGTATGGTTCATATATAGTCTCCGTTTTTCTCTTCTTCTCTCTCTTTAGAACAACTGTGAAAGCAGTCATCGAAATCCACCATGCCATTATGTTAGAAACAATTAGGACGGCAACAAAGGAAGATTCAGTTCTTCAAAAAGTGAAAGAAGCGTTAATTAGTGGAAGATGGAACAAGATTTCACCAGAGTTAGCACCTTACTACGAGCTAAGAGCAGAGATATACGTGGCAGAAGGAGTAATATTAAGAAACGATCGAATAATTCCACCTGAAAGCTTACGAGAAAAAAATATTCGTACAGCACACAGTCAGGGACACTTGGGAGTCACAAAAAAAAGGCGACGATCAGAAAGAAATATTGGTTTTCGGCGATGAATCAGCGTATCGAAAACACCGTTCGGGACTGTTTTAGCTGCCAGTCCCCGAAAAAGAGTTATTAAAGCTAAAGCCTCTGTGATATTTGCCGCACCATGCAGTGTGGCATCCAAGGAAACCAGGAGAGCCTAGAGTGGTTTTCAATTGCGCGAGCAAAACAGAAGGGACTTCACAAAACAGAACAAACTATTGCGAGAACCAGAGAACACGAGTACGCTTATTGGGGTGATGCTTAGATTCAGAATTTAAACTGTGGCGGTAACGGCAGATATTAAAAGAATGTTTTGAAGTGACCGTCTAACGTTATAGTGATAAACCAAGCACACTCGTATTGCTTACTTGTAGAATGAATCTATTCACATTATCCACACCCCTACTTAAATACAGATCTAATAATTACCATATGTGATCATGCATACACTTATTATAATTCATATACTACAATCCTCCTTTTTCCAGTTCCTTGAATATTGCTAACCAATTTATAAATTCCTTTTTCCTAATTCTACAAATATTAATATCTATGCCTATGTAACCAACTTTATAATCTACCATATAATATTGTTACTTCCATATACTCTAATCTATTGTTTTAATCAGTTTTTTCTATTGTATTTTCTAGTTTTCTAAAACCGTTCTTATGAGTTTCTTATAAGTTCACGGAGTATAATCTCTTAATTGTTTCTCAAATATTGAAATACGTTTTCGTGTCGATCTTCTAATCGGTGGATTTACCTCTTGATTAGTGTCCTCTAAATCATATCTTACTTCGTTGTTAATTAATTCTTGATCTTCATTTTCTTCATTGTTAATTATCTTCTTGTCTCTCAGAGTGAATGATGGTGGTACTTGTGATTCACCTTTCTTTAATTCTTCCATCTTCTTTTCTTCTTTGTCTTTGTCGCTTCTTCCATTTAACTGTTTAAATCTGGATGAGTCTCTCCACACTGTTTTACCATCAGTTATTCTTCTTGCAAATATTGTAGATCCCTTGATATCTGTAATGATGTATATGTATGGTTCATATATAGTCTCCGTTTTTCTCTTCTTCTCTCTCTTTAGAACAACTGTGAAAGCAGTCTTCGAAATCCACCATGCCATTATGTTAGAAACAATTAGGACGGCAACAAAGGGAGATTCAGTTCTTCAAAAAGTGAAAGAAGCGTTAATTAGTGGAAGATGGAACAAGATTTCACCAGAGTTAGCACCTTACTACCAGCTAAGAGCAGAGATATACGTGGCAGAAGGAGTAATATTAAGAAACGATCGAATAATTCCACCTGAAAGCTTACGAGAAAAAATTATTCGTACGGCACACAGTCAGGGACACTTGGGAGTCACAAAAAAAAAGGCGATGATCAGGAAGAAATATTGGTTTCCGGCGATGAATCAGCGTATCGAAAACACCGTTCGGGACTGTTTTAGCTGCCAGTCCCCGAAAAAGAGTTATTAAAGCTAAAGCCTCTGTGATATTTGCCGCACCATGCAGTGTGGCATCCAAGGAAACCAGGAGAGCCTAGAGTGGTTTTCAATTGCGCGAGCAAAACAGAAGGGACTTCACAAAACAGAACGAACTATTGCGAGAACCAGAGAACACGAGTACGCTTATTGGGGTGATGCTTAGATTCAGAATTGAAACTGTGGTGGTAACGGCAGATATTAAAAGAATGTTTTGAAGTGACCGTCTAACGTTATAGTGATAAACCAAGCACACTCGTATTGCTTACTTGTAGAATGAATCTATTCACATTATCCACACCCCTACTTAAATACAGATCTAATAATTACCATATGTGATCATGCATACACTTATTATAATTCATATACTACAATCCTCCTTTTTCCAGTTCCTTGAATATTGCTAACCAATTTATAAATTCCTTTTTCCTAATTCTACAAATATTAATATCTATGCCTATGTAACCAACTTTATAATCTACCATATAATATTGTTACTTCCATATACTCTAATCTATTGTTTTAATCAGTTTTTTCTATTGTATTTTCTAGTTTTCTAAAACCGTTCTTATGAGTTTCTTATAAGTTCACGGAGTATAATCTCTTAATTGTTTCTCAAATATTGAAATACGTTTTCGTGTCGATCTTCTAATCGGTGGATTTACCTCTTGATTAGTGTCCTCTACATCATATCTTACTTCGTTGTTAATTAATTCTTGATCTTCATTTTCTTCATTGTTAATTATCTTCTTGTCTCTCAGAGTGAATGATGGTGGTACTTGTGATTCACCTTTCTTTAATTCTTCCATCTTCTTTTCTTCTTTGTCTTTGTCGCTTCTTCCATTTAACTGTTTAAATCTGGATGAGTCTCTGCACACCGTTTTACCATCAGTTATTCTTCTTGCAAATATTGTAGATCCCTTGATATCTGTAATGATGTATATGTATGGTTCATATATAGTCTCCGTTTTTCTCTTCTTCTCTCTCTTTAGAACAACTGCGTTTCCAATTTGAAATATGTGCCGTTTTGAATTATGTCGTTTATCATGATACAGCTTCACTTTCTTCTTGTAACTAGCGTCCAACTCTTGTGTTTCTTTATCTTTCGGAGATAATTCTACAGGAAAGTGATCCAATTTTGTTCGCACTTGTCTGTTCATCAATAATTCATAGGGAGTAGCTTTAGTAGCTGGATGTGGCGTTGATCTGTACGCTTGAAGCATATCGTAGGTTGCCTCGTGTAGATCCAAACCCTCTTGAGATGCTATACTTGCTGTCTTATTCACGAGCTTATTAAACCCTTCAACTTGTCCTTGAGCTTTAGGATGTCTGAGTGTAATCTTCTTATGCCGAAACCCCGTCACCTCAGCAAATAGTTGGAAATCATTTGAATTGAATGGAGGTCCATTATCAGTTTGAACTCTCTTTGGTATTCCATACGTTGAAAATATCTTCTTCAGTTTCTTCTGAACCGATATATGCGAGGTTGATCTTACGAACTCCACTTCCGGATATCTTGAGTACTGATCCGTAACAACTAACGCATATTCACCATTTGGGAACGGACCGCAAAAATCCATCTCAACTGTATCCCACGGTCTTTCTGGCAGTTCCGTCATCTTTGCCGGTTCCGTGTGGTGTGTATTTGTAGAGATCTGGCAGCTAAAACAGTCCGAAACGGTGTTTTCGATACGCTGATTCATCGCCGGAAACCAATATTTCTTCCTGATCATCGCCTTTGTTTTTGTGATTCCCAAGTGTCCCTGACTGTGTGCCGTACGAATAATTTTTTCTCGTAAGCTTTCAGGTGGAATTATTCGATCGTTTCTTAATATTACTCCTTCTGCCACGTATATCTCTGCTCTTAGCTCGTAGTAAGGTGCTAACTCTGGTGAAATCTTGTTCCATCTTCCACTAATTAATGCTTCTTTCACTTTTTGAAGAACTGAATCTTCCTTTGTTGCCGTCCTAATTGTTTCTAACATAATGGCATGGTGGATTTCGATGACTGCTTTCACATGGTTCTCATGACTCGTCTCAACTGTTTCTGGCAGTGGATGTCTGGAAAGATAGTCTGTCATGTTCGTTTTCCCAGGTGCATAGACTGCTGTGAAATCAAGATTCTGCATCTTCATAATCATTCTTTCTATCTGTGGTGGTAATTTGGCTTTAGGTTTGTTAAACATTGGAAGGAGTGGTTTGTGGTCAGTTACCAGTTCGAAGTGCTTCGCTGAGAGTAAATACATACGTAGTCTGCTGGTGGTAAACTCTGCTGCTAAAGCTTCAGGTTCAATCTGCGACTATCTCTTCTCTACGTCTGTAAGTGTTCGACTTACATAATGAACTGGTTGATACCCCTTCTCTGTTTTCTGAAAGAGACCTCCTCCCAATCCTATCGGACTTCCATCACATATCACACGAGTATCTCGTTCTGGTCGAAATGGAATCAATACTGGAGCCGTAATAATAGCTTTCTTAAAATCTTCAAAGGCTTCTTGTTGCTCTTGCGTCCAAACAAACTTTTGGTTGTCTTTAGTGATTCTTCTCAGTGGCTCGCATCTACGGGAAAAGTTACTTATGTACCGAGACAAATAAGCCAACATTTGTACAAACGATACTACCTCTTCTTTTGATTTAGGTGGACTACACTCTTGCACAGCTCCACTTTATTTGCACTCGGTTTCAGTCCATCTCCGATCTTCCAAATTCGCATTTCTCCTTTTGTAAGGTGATGTTATGTAACTCCAGTCTCTGAAGTATAAAGTTGCTAGATTCTTGTTATGGTCTTCCCAATCGATTCCGCCCACCACCATGTCATCTCTGTTATTAAGCACTCTTGGTATTCCAGAAATAATTTTGCTCATCTCTGCATCGAACAGATCTTGGCTATTAATACCTCCGAACGCCAATCGTTGGTACCGATAGTTACCCCACAGTGTCGAGAATGTCATCAGCTTTCTGGATTGCTCATCAAGGGTAAACTGATGATAACCATGATTCATATCTAGCTTGCTAAATATTGTAATAATTTAATAACCGCAATCGTAGCTTCCGCTTTCCGAGTTTCATTTTCCATCGTCACGCAGCATTCACCCATCACTGGTAATTCTTCTGTTAATGTTTTTAGCTTCATTTTTGTCTTTCGTAACTCTGTTTCTTCTGGTGTTTGTTGTAGAAGTGATTTAAATTGGTATTCGTCCATAACATTTGCATCAGCACCAGTGTCTGGTTCAACGATCATCTTCATTCCGTTTATTGTAATAGCACACTCGTTCTTCTCGCCCCGTTCTTTAGCTGTACGATGGATATTTAAATGCTTTACAATTCTTTCGATATCTTCATCCGTACTGTCATCATCGCTGTTGCTAGTTTCTTCATCGTCTTTATTTACTTCCACCTGGCGAATACGCTTTCGACTAAATCTACCCTTGCTTTTACTTCGATTCCTTCTTGTTTCTTGGTTATATTTTCTCCCGTTCTTTACATCTTGCTTCTCACCACGTCCCGGTGTCTCCTGGTTTTCTTCCTGTCTTTTGCTTTGGATGCTTTTACACATTCGCGCGAAATGGTTCCGTTTCCCACACTTCTAACATTCTGCTCCGTACGCCTTACATTGTCATCTTTCGTGCTTCGAACCACATCGCTGGCATATTTCAAAACTCTGTCTCGTGTCCTTTTTTATTATCTGATTGACTCTTTTATACTCTGTTTCTGATTTCAATTTTTTCTGGATTTCATTGGCTTGAGATGTTGATTCTTCGTCAATCGCTGCTTCGTCTAGAATTTGTGTCAAAGTCCAATTATTGCGAATTGTTTTAGCCCGAAGTCTGTTGTTCGTCATTGTTTTTATGAGATGGTCACGCACCGCTTCATCCTCGTTAGCGAATTCACATTTTTTCGCCGTCTCACGAATTCTTGTGTAGTATTGAGCCATATTTTCTTCTGTTTGTTGCGAAAGATTTCCAAATTTAAATCTAGCATAGTCCTTATTCTTTCTTGGTAGAAAATGTTTGTCTAGCTTTCGAATTAGCTGGGTATAAGTATCTTCGTCTTCAATAGGTGTTAAATCGGGTAGCGAGTCTTCTAAGTCTGCAATGCATTGGCCGCCGTAGATAATCAAGCCATCTCTCTTTATACTTGGGTCTGCTAAACCGAAGAATCGAAATTGCCGCTCGATATCCTTTTTCCACTTCGCCCGAGGAACCGCTGTTTCGTCCACGTCGCTTGAAATTATAAATGGCTTCACATTTAGTTGTCGATTCACAATCACTGTTGTTGTCGTATTGCTGATATCGTCAGTACCGCTAGAAGTTCCCGATTTCGCTCCTTTAGACATGTTCAGAATATTATTTATTTAAACTTTCAGTTCATACTCAGTTGATCCTCGTCGCCATCTGTAGTGACCGTCTAACGTTATAGTGATAAACGAAGCACACTCGTATTGCTTACTTGTCGAATGAATCTATTCACATTATCCACACCCCTACTTAAATACAGATCTAATAATTACCATATGTGATCATGCATACACTTATTATAATTCATATACTACATGTTTCACCAAGTTCACATGATTCCAGAACATTGTGGTCCGGATGGCCATCTTTTTGTAGCCAAGTAATCCCCCAGCGTTGCGGGATACGCCGTTAGGAGAACTGCCAAAGATAATGCTGAAGATCACCCCCCTGAAGTGTTAACACCATCCTCCATGATTTCTATGTGGACGACCTCCTAAAGTCGTATACAACCCAGACATAGCGATATCAGTAAGCAAGCAACAAGAAAATCTGTTAGCAAAGGGTGGCTTCGAACTGACCAAGTGGAATTCAAACTCACACGAAGTGCTGGAACAATTCCCACCTGAATCTCGAGCTCCTGTAGTCAAGGATTTGAATTTAAAATCGGAAGAAGCCTTGCCCGTAGATCACACTCTTGGTCTTGGATGGGACGTTCAAAGAGACACTATTGTCCTTGTTGCTGGTAACAAAAAAGAGCCTACCAATCGGAAAGGTGTTTTATCATCTATAGCAACAATCTATGATCCCTTGGGCTTTGCTGAGAAGGTCGAGAATGTTCAGAAAGAATCTTTTGACGAAAAGGTTGCAACGAATGAAAGGAGTGGCCTCGCCAAACTCAAACTATTTAAAGAAAAATATCTAATATGTTTAGGGGGAAGATTGGATCGATCAAATCTAAGCTGCAATGCCAAGATTTGTAGTGACAATGGCACAAATTTTAAAGGTGCAGAGAAAGATCTACTTGAAGCATTGAAAGAATGGGACCTACAATGAATACAAGGTTCGTTATCTAGAAGGAATATTGAGTGGAAGTTCAAGGCTCCCCGCCACAAGCCATCAGGGAGGTGTTTGGAACACCTCCTACATCTGATACGTTCTACCAAGAAGATCCTCTGTTCACTGGTTGGAAAGGTGAATAACTTTGAATCTAGTGCGTAGCGCTGAATTGAGTTATATCAAATAAACACATTCAAAAGTTACCAGCGTTTCAGAGTTGTAGTTTAAAGTCTACAGATGTACTTCTCAACAATTGAAATGGATAACTTTGTCAAATACTCTCTCTTAACTTTGTTGTTCCATGTTTCAATGTTGCTGTCTAAGGTTTCAGGAACTTCTTCCAAACTTTTCTATTCCTGATTCAATCATGCCGGCAGCAACAATTCGTGACTGGATTCCAGGGTTAAGAAATGCCGGTTGGCATTAACTGCTGAATCTACATCCTTCTTTACTGAGCAACAATTAATTAAGTTTTGATCACTAAACATGGTGCGGACACTGGGTTGTACAAATGGGAAAATGATACCTGTTGATAAAAAAAATAGAAGTTGATAAAAAAAATAGAAACATTAGCCAGAATGAAACATCTAGCGAGATGAAAGAAAAAATTCCCACTTGTCGGTGGCTTTCAGGATCCCCTGTTGTCACAACTATCGTTCAATCGGTGCACCAGCGAAGGAATCCAGATCCACAACACTGGTAAATGTCACTGGATTACGTCGTTGTGCATTGGGGGGCAGCCAGTAGGTGTGTATGATAGTACAATGATTTAACAGAATCCAGCGAAATACAGCTAGTACAATGTTACAACAATTATATCGACCAGGCAGGGCAGCTTCGCATTCAAATGGCTTCATTTCAGAAGCAGAAAGGATCAACAGATTGCAGTTTATTTGCTATTGCAAGTGCATATGAGTTTGCAAGTGGAAATACACACTTCAATTATGAAGTTCCATTTGAACAGAAGGCAATGAGAGAACATTTAATTGTCTGCTTCGAGAATGAAGAACTATTGTTGTTCCCTCATACGCAAAAAGCGGCTGCAGTGGGCAAAAACGAACAACAGTTATCCGTACAAACTCATTGTGTTTGTCAGTTGCCAGAGTGTGGTGATATGGTGCAATGTGATCTTTGTGACATGTGGTACCATTTAGCATGTACCAATTTGAGCCAAGCTCCTGGCAAAAGTGACAATTGCCTTTCTCAGTTATGTGCGCCGCTTTTCTAAATTAAGTGAACTAATTGTAATTGTAATTTTTATACATAGAACTTAGTCTTATACATTCCTCGGGGCAAATTCTCGGGGGGGGGGGGGGCAAATTTCC